AAAAAATCCCAAATCAAAAAACCCCAGGCTTTAACCTCCAGCTTTCCAATTGATGGTGAATTCATAGGACTTTTTTTTTTAAATCATCTTCCTTGAAGGCACTCAGTAAAATACTACTACTGCTATCACTACTAATTTTTTTTTGTCTTTTTGGAGACGAACTCACTATGCAGACCAGGCCGTCCTTGAACTCACAGAGATCCCCCTGTTTCTGCCTCCCAAGTGCTGGGACTACAGGTGTGTGCCACCACGCCCGACAGTATACCTCTTTTTTAAAAAAAAATTTTTTTGTCTTTTTGAGACAGGGTCTCCCTGTAGTCCCAGCTGATCTGAACTCACTATGCAGACCAGGCTGGCCTTGAACTCATAAAGATCCGCCTGCCTCTGCCTCCCAAGTGCTGGGATTAAAGGTGTGCGCTACCACACCTGGACTTAAAAAATATTTATTATTTTTATTTTTATGTGTATGCATATATTGCCCGCATGTAGGTATGTATACCCGTGTCATGCAATTCTCATGGAGGACAGAAGAGGCTATCAGATTCCCTGAAACTAGAGTTACGGACAGTTGTTAGGTGCCATGTGGATGCTGGGATTTGAATTCGGGTCTTCTGCAAGAACAGCCAGTGTTCTTAACCACTGAGCCATCTCTCCAGCTCCAATACTGTATAACCTCTTCAAGTTAGAAGAAATACATTTTTTAAAGCCAGGCGTAGTGGCACAGGTCTTTAGTCCCAGCACTCAGGAGGCAGAGGCAGAGGCTTGAACTCTGGGTGAGTTCAAGGCTGGCCTGGTCTACATAGTAAGTTCTATGCCAGCTGGGGCTACAGGAAGACCCTGTCTAAAAAGACCAAAAAAAGAAAAAAAGAAAGAAATACATCTTTTTGAGACAGAGTCCCTATAGCCACAGCTGGCCTTGATCTCTCACTATTACTATTTTATTTTATAGTAAATAAAATAGTGCTGCCGCAGCAGTAATAGAACTAGCTTGACACAAAGAAGGATAGATGTTCTTACCATCTGGAATATGCAGAATCATCCAGTCATGTTTTGCACAGAAATGAATAGCATGGCAAAGGGTGAGGGTTTTTCCTGTACCCTTCTCCCCATCTAAAGTGTGTATTAAGAAAACATCACTAGAAACAAGTTTCCCATCAAGAGCATTTCTCATCTTCAAACGAGGGGAGAAAATGTGGGCTTAAGAAGATACAGGTTAGGGCTGGGGACATGGCTCTGGTTAAGAGCACATATTACTCTTGATGAGGACTTAAGTTCAATTCCTACTACCCATGTCAGGCAGTAGTCTGTAACTCCAGTTCTAGGGGATCTGACACCCTCTTCTGGACCTCTGAGGTACAGCACTCATGTGCATAAACCCACATTCGGATATACACATACACACATAATTAAAAAATAAAAAAGGCCCGGGTAGGCAGGAAAGGATACAGAGAAGATAGCGCACAGCTGGATGTGCAAAATTGGTGTTTTTCAAGTAATGCAGAAGCTCTAGGGCTGGTTTCCTTATCATCAGACAAGCTTCACCGAAAGTCTTCACCTAAGCAAACAAAAGGAGAGGGTGGACATAGAACTTGTAACCATGTGCACACTAAGCCTCACACAGCAAGCCAGAGCTTTGTTCAGTTAGGAGAGGGCTGGCAATGAATTTGAAAAAACAAAACAAAACAAAACAAAACAAAAATCATGTAGCTGGGTGTCCATCTTTAATCCCAGCACTTGGGAGGCAGAGGCAGGCAGATCTCTGAGATTGAGGCCAGCTTGGTTTACATAGTGAGTTTAAGGTCACCTGGGCTTACAGCAAGACCCTATCTCAAAAGGACCAAATAAATAAGTAAATTGAGGTATATTATTTTATATCAAGTAAAACAAATACCTTTTGATTCTTTTTTATACATATATACATATACATACATGTATGTGTGTACCCTCAGCTCTAGTATTGTTTTTTCTTAAAGACCCCGCCCCCCTCCAAACAAATTGGACTGGTGTAGCAACTGAACGGAAAGTGCAATCTTCAAAAACTTTAATAGAACAGAAATGTTTTATCAGGTAATACAGTAGTAAAATAAAGAACAGTGGGAAGTGGCTTTCATATAAATGGGATTATGGAAAAGAATAGATGAAAGCTATGATTTGGGTATGAACTGTCTCCCCAAAACTCAGAGGTGGGATTTTGGAAAGTGCTAGATCCTGAGGGCTCTGACTTAATCAAAGAGTAAATCTATCTTATCCCTAGTCACTTCCTCTTGGTCTCTCTCTGTCCTCTGACTGCTATGACGTGAGCAACTATGTTCCACCATGCCCTTCTGCCATAATGCTCTGTCACTCTGTGCTCAGACCAACAGAGTCAGCTAATCAAAACTGAAACCTTTGAAAGTATGCCTGTAAAAAGTTGCTTTTTTCAGGGATTTTTGCCACAATGATGAAAGGAAAACTGATATATTAAGTCCCCCGCAAAGCAATTATGCTCCAAGGCACTTGAGAGATGTTAAATATACTCCCCCAAAATCTTGAAGGTAAGGACTGAACTTTGAAGGTCTTGCAATAGTTTAAAGGGTTATTTTTAGAGAATTTCTTTGGTTCTGTCTTCTTTCCTTCCCTCCCTCCATCCCTCCCTCCCTCTCTTCCTCCCTTCATTCCTTTTGGTCTTTTTTTAAAAAATATTTTATTATTTTTATTTTATGTGTATGAGTGTACTGCCTGCATGTATGTGACTGCACCTGTGTCGTGCAATGCCGTGGAGGTCAGAAGAGGGCTTTGGATTCCCCTGGAACTGGAGTTAAGGGCGGTTCATAACCGCCATGTCGGTGCTGGGAATCAAAACCAGGTCCTCTGCAAGAGCAGTGAGTGCTCTTAACCACTGAGCCATCTCTCCAGCCCCTCCTTTTGGTCTTTTTGAGACAGGGTCTCCCTGTAGTCACACCTGGAACTCCCTATGGAGACCTGGCTGGCCTGGATGTGCTGGGATTAAAGATGTGTGCCACCACAGGGTCCTATTTCTAATCCTAACAAAACACTTGATAACAAGGCTGCTATGGTCTGGAATTTACTTATTAATATCATTCCCTAATTAGTGAGACAATTTGATGAAATAAAGGGCACAAAGAAGAATGACATCCTCTGGATCTTTAGCAAAATACCACTTGCACAAGCAGGTTTGATATTTATTTCATTAGCACAGCATAATTTTATTGTGCTGAAAACAATTCAGCAAAAGTTAGTCATAATAACTGTCATAATAATTGTGGCAATAAACCATGCTGATGTTATGGCCACAAAACATCTTTTCAAATGTAAAAATTTTTCTAAACAAATTATTCAAAAATAATCCTCGAAAACACTTTTGAGCTGGGGATGGTGTCCCAGACTGGAGCTATGGGGAGACCCTATACCAAAACAGAAACAAAAGCAGAAGAAGGCTGAAGCAGGAGAGCTGCTGTAAGCTGTAGGCTGGACAGGGCTATAAAAGAAGAATCTGACTCACAAACAATCGGGAGGGCTGGAGCAAGAGTTCAGTCGGTAAAGAGCTTGCTATACAAGCAGGAGAACCAGTTTGAGCCTCAACACCTACATAAGAAGGCTGAGCATGACAGATGGTGTGTGCTTGTAACCCAAGCACTGGGGAGGTAGAGACAGGTAGATCTCTAGAGCTCTGTCACCAGCTAGTGTGGCCTAACAGGGGCTTTCCAGGTTCCAGTAAGAGACCCTATCTCAAAAAACAAGTGGCCGGGTCCTGAAGATGGACAACTGAAGTTGATATATGGCTTCCATATGTGTGCACACACACATATGAACATGTACACATACCCCTTGAATATAGCACATACATACACAAAAAAGTTTTTTTCAAAAAATCATTTGCATTTAGCTCAGGAATGATTTTGTTTCATGGTTAAAAGAAATGCTTTATGACACCAGGTCTCATTTAGATAAGTATAACCTTGAACTTTAATGAAAAAAAATTTTAATTTATTTTTATTTTATGTGTGTTTTACCTGCATGTCTGGAGGTGCATCACGTACACCCAATGCCCACAGAGGCCAGAAGATCTCCTGGAACTGTTAGCTGCCATGTGGGTGCTGAGAACTAAGTTCTCTGCAAGAGCAGCCACTGCTCTTAACTGCCAAACCATCTCTCCAGTCTTGACCTTTAGCTTCTGATCCTCCTGCTTCCACTTCTAGAGTGCTGGGTTGATAGGAATGGGTATGTGCCACCACATTCAGTTTATGAGATTTTAGGGCTTGAACCCAGGGCTTTGTACGCACCAGGCAAGCACTGAGTTCTATCTCTAGCTTCTACTTTCATATTTTGGTAAGGCAAATATTGTTCGTCTTATTTTTAATTAGTAAGTGACAGAATCTCACATTATAGCCCAGGCTGGGCCCTAACCTGAAACAATCTTCTTCCTGCTGCCTCTCAAATGCTGGGACTGTAGGTATGTGCCAGTACAAGTATATCCAGCTTAGATTCATTTAAAATAATTATTTGAATGCCAAGATTTTTGTTAACTTTTTGGGTAGGGTAGCTCAAGGAAAGAAAATATACTGCTTATAAAAGAATGTTTGCCTGGTTCTAAAATGTATTTAAAGTGGTTAACAAAAGATAAACATTAGTAACTGTAGCATTCACAAAAGATATTCAATAGCTGAAATTCTGTTTTTCAGATTCAAATTTCAAATTTCCATTAAACTTCTCATTTAGCCTCATCCTTTGTATTTTGGGCTCCCCCAGTTTCGTTCCATGTACTGCGTACCTGCATCACAAATCGAGGCGGCAGGCCATGGGGAAACACCATCTTCAAATCCTGGAGGGGGATGCTGTAGTGCTGGCCTTCATGTTGTTCTCCATGCTTGGCCTGGGGGGTAAAAATAGACTTTGAAGCATGGTGGCACACGCCTGTAGTCCCAGCACTTGGGAGGCAGAGGCAGTGGATCTCTGTGAGTTCAAGGCCAGCCTGGTCTACATAGTGAGTTGCAGGCCAGCTAGGGCTACAGGGAGACCCTGTCTCAAAGATTGAAAAAAAAAAAAAAAAAAAAAACTTTGAAAAGCAGATAGGTGGGGTGTGGTTGTGCATTATTATCCCAGCAGTCAAAGGCTGAAGCAGGAGGATTGCCTTGAGTTCCAGGAGAGCCTGAACTACAGAGATGTCTGAAAAGAAACAAACCTGACCAACCAATCAACCAACTAACCAACCAAAACTGAAAAGCAAAGCGGATACTGTTTTGTAGACCACAACTACAGAAATAATTTCTCATAGCTGGAAATATATATATATATTTTTTTGAGACTTTTTTTTTTTTTTTTTTTTTGTCTTTTTGAGACAGGGTCTCCCTGTAGCCCCAGCTGTCCTGGAACTCACTATGTAGACAAGGCTGGCCTTGAACTCACAGAGATCCGCCTGCCTCTGCCTCCCAAGTGCTGGGACTACAGGCGTGTGCCACCACGCCGGGTTATTTATTTTTATTTTTGAGACTAGGGTCTCCCTGTAGCCTCAGCTGGCCTGGAACTTGATGTGTAGTCCAGGCTGGCCTTTATCTCACAGAGATCTGCCTGCCTTTGCCTCCCCAGTGATGGGATTAAAGGCATGCACCACCACGCCCGGCATTGTACTGGTCCTTTAAGGAAAAAATTTTGTCAGTCAACATAAAAATCAATAATTAGTGCTACTTGTAAGGAAATGAATTTAGTGAATTTTAATGTGCTTTCTTTAATACTGTCTATACTCAGCAAGATTCTTGGCCCTAAGTGAATTCATTACTGGATCACAGAAAGGAATGTGGACAGCATCATACAAGGACGGGGAAGAACTATGTTCAGTGCTGGCTTAAGTGTACCACCTACATGAGCATATGTAAATCAGTTTGGCATCTTTAAATTTCAGTTTTCCTGATATAAAAAGCTAGCAACACAAACTACAATAGCTGGAAACCCCCATATAAACATTAAAAACTCACCGGGTCACTTTCACTGGTTCGGGAAATAGCTCTGGGATGCTCAACTGGAACCTGGTTCTCTAGGTGAACAATGCTTTGGGATGCCTGGGAACTGACATGGAAAGAACATCCTGGGTCTAGCTACAAAAGAAAACATTTTAGTTTTCTGTAATTATCAGGCTTTTTTATGCTTGTTAGAACAGTGAGAATGTTGAGCCATGTCTGTATCAAGGAAAATATGACAGTAAAATATATTTTAGTTCTATGTAAAATAGATCCTTATTAATAATTCACTAAATCCAATCACATTATTCATCCTCCAAATCTGTTCCAGCTTATATATCACCACATCAAGGCTCTGTCCTAGATGAAAACAAAGAACTTTGTCAGAGAGAGTTCAGGAGCACAGCACAGTTATTGACAACCTAAGGCATTTAAAAAAAAATTTTTTTTTTTGGTCTTTTTTTTGAGGCAGAGTTTCCCTGTAGCCCCAGCTGTCCTGGAACTCACTATTTTTGAGAAGGGTGTCGCTCTAATAGCTCAGGTTGGCCTCAAACTTGTAATAGTCTTGCCTCAGCTTCCAAAGTGCTGGGATTATGTGCTGCCATAGGTACCTTTATTTTCTTGAGCTGGAGACTTGCGAAGTTACCCAGGCTAGCCTTGAATTCCTAGGCTCAAGTGATTCTATCTGAGCATTCTGAGTGGCTGGGACTACAGATGCGCACATACCACTGCACTCAGCTCAGGAATCTTATTTTAATCCACTTACCCTCTGTGATGAATGGTTACTAATACTGTGCAACTCTCAGCTGCACAGTAACTGCAGTCATCACAGTTAGGGTATTAGTGTAATATTCTTCACTAGGGCTAGCTATAATTATACTTTCTGTAATGATTTTCTTGCTAGCTATGACCTGGAATAAGAATCCTCCACGTAATGAGGGGGAACGTAAAGAGTTCAGTGAAGTAAAAAACTGCTCTACAGGCAAGTCAGTGAACTGTACTCAGAAATTTCTGAAACTGGGTGGGGGCACAGATGAGATTTCAGGAGATAAATTCGAGAAAATACTAAGGAAAAAATCCACAAAATTAGCAGGGCATGGTAGTACATGTCTGTAATCCCAGCATTCAGGCTGGAAGTTAAAGAGTTCAAGACCAGTCTGAACTATCTGAGACTGAACCCAAAAAAAGCCAACATGGTGGTGTATGCCTTTAATCTATCTCAGCACTCCTGGGGGCAGAGGCAGGCAAATTGCTGGTCTACACAGCAAGTTCTAGCTGGGACCACAGAGGGATCCTGTCACAAAGAAAAAACAAAACAAAAACAAAAAACCCAACAACCCTCAATTGAGCTTAAAGATAGTGAAGCCTTACGTAGAAGTGAAATGACAATGAGGAATACAAGAGAGGGAAGAGAATAGGAGCGGTAAGTATAGAACGAGAGTTGCCTGGTAAATCAATAGGCAATATGAAGGCTATCCTCACTCAGCAACCTCTTAAGTATAGAAAATATAGATTATTTTTGTACCACCTTTCCTAAGTACTCTGAATGTCATATACATCCTTATTTTCCAGATGCTTCCAGTCAAAAGCAATGATCTCTCTCTCTCTCTCTCTCTCTCTCTCTGCTAACAAGCACTGTTTTTACATTGAATGGCAGCTTTATTGACCCTGCCTTGAACTGAACCTTGGTTATCATTAACTGAGTATTTCTAAGATGCTAGGTTTACTGTGTATTATCTTTGAGCCTAGAATCCCTGAAGATAGGTAAAATATTATTTGATAAAAACAAAGTTTAAGAAAATTAAGCAATTTTGACTAAGTTAGTAGTACTAGAATTTAGAATTTAGATCCAAGGCTGACTCCAAAATTTATTTATTTATTTATACAGGGTCTCTCTATGTATCCCTCGTTGGCCTTAAACTTGCTATGTAGACAAGGGTCTCCTTAAATTCAGAGATCCCTCTATGTCTTCCTCCCAAGTGCCATGATTTAAGGTGTACCACCAAGCCTGGACAAAATATCTATTTTTAAAACTTATGGGGTTGGAGAGATGAGTCAGCAGTTAAGAGCATCCACATGGCAGTGGATGCTAACCACCAGTAACTCCAGTTCCAAGGGATTCGATGCCCTCTTCTGACCTCCCTGGGCACTACAGGACACAAGTGCACTTACATAAATGTAGGCAATATATTCATACACATAAAATAAAAAATATTAAAAAAGTATACATTAAGTCAGGTATGGTGGCTCACACCCTTAATCTCTAGCTGGCCTGGAACTCACTATGAAGACAGAGATCCATCTGCCTCTGCCCACCTGAGTGATGAGATTAAAGGTGTGCACCACCATGCCCAGTCCCCCTCAAAATTATTTTTTTAAATTGAAACTGGACAGCTGGGCGTGGCAGTGCACACCTTTAATCCCACCACTTGGGAGGCAGAGGCAGGCGGATCTCTGTGAGTTCAAGGCCAGCCTGGTCTACACAGTGAGTTCCAGGACAGCTGGGGCTACAGGGAGATCCTGTCTCAAGACAAAACAAACAAACAAACAAACAAAAAAACTGGATAGCTCAGTGGTTAAGAAAGCATACTACTCTTCCAGAAGACTTCAATTCAATTCCTAGCACTCATGCTGGGTAGCTTACAACTGTCTTTAACTCCAGCTCCAGGGGATTCAGTGCCTTCTTCCTATGGAAGCCAGTAAAATTTTTTTAAAAAAATTTAAAAGTTGTATATATGGGCTGGAGAATTGGCTCAGTAGCTAAGAGCACTGACTGTTCTTGCAGCAGATGCATGTTCACTTCCTAGCACCCACATAGTGGTTAACAATTGTCGGTCCATTTCCAGGAGATCTGATGCCCTCTTCTGGCCTCCAGGGGCATTACATGCATGTGGTGGACTTACATACATGTAGGCAAAAACACATAAAATACATAAAAAATGCTGGCAGAGGCTGGGCATGGTGGCACACACCTTTAATCCCAGCCCTTGGGAAACAGAGGCAGTGGATCTCTCTGAGTTCTAGGCCAGCTGGGGCTACAGGGAAACTCTGTCTCAAAAAGACACACACACAAAAATTACATTTATTTGTGTGTGTATGGGTACACCCATGCCATAGCATATATGAGGAAAACCTGGGGAGGTGGCTCTCTCTTTACAATATGTTTGAGTCCCAGAGACTGAACTCCATTCATCAGGCAAGTGCCTTAACCCTGTTAGCCATCTGACTGATCCTGTGTGAGACAGGATCTTACCATGTAGCACTGGCTGGCTTCAAACTCTAAATAGACCAGCCTGGTCTCAAACTCACAGAGATCTGCCTGTTTCTACTTCCCAAGTGCTAGGATTAAAGGTGTGTGCCACCATGCCCAGCTGACTGTCTCTTTTTTCACTTAAAGAATTACTTATTTATATAATCTATTAGTATTCTGTCTGCAAGTATGTAAATTCACCATGTGCATGCAGTGCGCACGAAAACCAGAGAGGGCAACAGATCCCTTTGAACTGGAGTTATGTATGGTTGTTAGCCACCATATGGGTGCTGGAAACTGAACCAGGGTCTCTGCAAGAGTAGCCAGTGCTCTTAACCTCTAAGCCATCTCTCTAGCACCCATCCCTTTACTTTTTAAATTTTAAATGTTCCTAAAATGTAGGTATGTATGTGTGTGGGCATGTGTGCCACAGTGCATATATGGAGGTCAGAAGACAATTTGTGAGTTGCTTCTCTCTTTTCACCACGTGGGCTCCAGCAATAGAACACAGATGATCAGGTTTGGCAGTAAGCATCTTTACATGTTAGCCCCTTTTTCATTAAAAAACAAAACAAAACAAAACAAAACAGTTGGGCGTGGTGGCGCATGCCTTGAATCCCAGCACTCCAGAGGCAGAGGCAGGTGGATTTCTGTGAGTTCGAGGCCAGCCTGGTCTACATAGTGAGTTCCAGGATAGCTGGGGCTACAGAGAGACCCTGTCTCAAAAAGACCAAAAAACAAAACAAAACACACTTATTTATTCATTTTAGAATATATGCATGTGTATGTGTCTGAGAGCATATGTGTGTGCCTGTACAAACACAAAGCCAGGAGAGAATGTGGGGTGCCTGCTCTCATTCTTTTGCCTTTTCCTTGAGGCAGGGCATCTCCCTGAATCTGGGGCTCATGTTTTTTTCTCCTAGGCTGGAAGCTGGCAAGCCCCAGTGATCCTCCTATCTTCTGCCTTCCGAAGAGCTCGGGTTCTAGGCATGCTTGGAACCCCAGCCTGTTATGAAAGTGTGAAGATCTGCCTCATGGATCTGGTCCTCATGATTGCACAGCAAGTACCCTTAGCTGCTGAGTCATTCTCTTCAGTCCTTCATAGTATCTTTTTATTTTCTGTGCATGTGTGTTCAGGCCAGAAATCAATACTGGGTATCTTCCTCAGTTCCTTTCAATGTTTTTTTTTCCCCTTTTGAAACACGGTCTCTCACCAAACCTTTAGCTCACTGATATGGACAAACTGCCTGGACAGGAAACTCCAGTGATCTTGTCACCGCTTCCCCAAGTGTATACCCCCACACCTGGCTTTTTATGTGGGTGCTAAGGATCTGAACTCTGGTCCATGTTGTGTCACATATATTTTACCAAATGAGCTGTCTCCCCAACTTGATATCATATTATCTTATACACATTTGTCTCCCATTCTAGGCAAAAGGAAGAGAAGGGGTCAGATTTAATTCATCTGATTTCATTCATTCATTCATTTCATTCAGTCATCAGATTTAATTTCTCTGAGTACCTAACATTTCACAAAATCTAAATACTTGTGCCTAAGAATAAAGAACTTTTCTTAAAGTCATGATAATGAGCAAGTACATGAACATCCAGCTAAGTGAAAGGAAACTGCTTTGGAGTCAGTTCAGTGAACTATAACTTGCAAATTCTAAATCATTACTTCATTACTTGCAAATTTCAATATAAGTAACAGTGTAAAGAAACAGGCTACTGTAACTTTGTGGATGTTTGTAAATTAATTTTATAGCAGAGGCAGCATGTCTACCAATCAGTTCGATATTTTCCTAAATGTCTTAGCTTCCCTTGTAGATAGGCTAGAGTCATGTTACTCCTGGCTAAAGTGTCAAGAGTGACAAGAACTTCAGTCATTTCTAGTCAAATTCAGTTAAAGGTGGCTATAAATTCTGCTTTCTCTTGCTGTGGTAGCTTAGGCTACATATTAAGAGTCTGAGGAGGCCGGGCACGGGTGCACAACTTTAATCCCAGCACTTGGGAGGCAGAGGCAGGTAGATCTCTGTGAGTTCGAGGCCAGCCTGATCTAAATAGTGAGTTCCAGGACAGCTGGGGCTACAGGGAAACCCTGTCTCAAAAAGACCAAAAGAAAAAAAAAAAAAGGCTGAGGAAAAAAAGGACAAGATATAGAAGCTTATAACCTCAGTATTGCAATCTAAATAATATACCACCTTAGAAATTTCTATGTCCCCATGTCTGTCTCTTTTTGGGTTGTTTTGAAACAGGGTTTCCCTCTGTAGATCAGGTTGGCCTTGAACTTTCAATCTTCCTGCCTTGGCATTCCAAATGTAGGGATTATAGGTGTATACCACCACAGGAGAAAACTAGGGCCAGTGAGATGGCTCAATAGGTAAACACAATTGCTGTGTAAGCCTGGAGACCCAAGTTCAAGCCCGTGAACCATGTGTAAAAGTGGAAGGAGAGGACCAATTTCAGAAAGCTTTCTTGACCTCCACCTCTGTGGCCCTCCTCTCAGTAATAATAAAAAAAATTTAAAGTAGAAAACTTAAAAATATTCAATGGCCACAAGATGGTGCTATTTCTACAGCAATCTTTTTTTCTTTACAGTAAATTAAAAGCTGGTAAAATGGATACCTTATAGCTCAAAGTATGAGCTATAAATGGAATCAAGAAGCTAGTCTCATTTCTAGGAAAAAATACCCATAGCACAGCTCTCTTTGCACAGTTCCAGAATGAACATTATATAGTTCTCAAAAGAATAGCATTCATGGGCCAAACTAGAAGGTTACCCTGAGCCAAACCAAAAATATCTACAAAATTCTTTTCACCAATATCTCACTAAAGCCTGGCTTCAGCTGTTGCCTAGTCTTACAGAAGGAAACACTTAAGAATAGAATCTATTCTTCTGTTGATCTTTGCTTTTATTTCTCTTGGAATACTTTTTTGAAATGATGTTTCGTTTTGATAATTCCAGGATGGGAGTTCAGAAAGGGGGAAAAAAAAAGAAAGAGCAGAAACAAACAAATACCTTCTCCCAGCCCAAAGCTGTACAAAAAGCAGAGCTCCTTTTCTAGGTTCTGATCTGTAGTCATATAATCTGATCAAACTGACCAAGCCCTTCTTATTCAGTTTTTACCCTCAGGATTAGCTCTAACTAATCCAGGCTGGGTACTGCTAGTAAGTGCTACAGAAGCACCATAGGTCAAGTCATTTATTCATGACTACTGGAATGTGGGGTTCTACAGAACGTGGATACCATGCCAAACGGTATATTGGCACATTGGTTAGTTAACATGCTTCAATTGAAGTAAACTAGCTAGGTATCTACTTACACAAGATTTGCAATTTCATGGCTATCATGACAAGCACTTTACCTGATCTTGCTTGGTCTTTTTTGTTTGTTTTTTGTTTTTTGTTTTTTTTTGAGACAGGGTCTCCCTGTAGTCCCAGCTGACCTGAATTCACTATGTAGACCAGGCTGGCCTTGAACTCACAAGGATCTGCCTGCCTCTGCTTCCCGAGTGCTGGGATTAAAGGCATGCACCACTATGCCTGCTTTATTATTTTTATCTCATGTGGATATGAGTGTATTGCCTGCATGTGTGTGAGTGCACCCATGTCATGTAATGCCAAGGAGGTCAAAAGAGGGCTTCAGATTCCCCTGGAACTGGAGTTAAGGACAGTTCGTAGTTGCCATGTAGATCCTGGGAATTGAACCCGGGTCCTCTGCAAGAACAGTCAGTGCTCTGAACTGCTGAGCCATCTCTCCAGCCCCAGTTTTGGCATCTTTTTTAAAAATTTATTTTTATGTGTATAAGTGTTTTGCCTGCATGTGTGCATCTGTTCCATGTGTAAGCAGTGCCCTTGGAGGCCAGAAGATGGAACAGAATTCCCTTGAACTGGAGTTACAGGTAAGCTACCATGTGGATGCTGGGAACCAAACCTAGGTCCTCTACAAGAGTGGCAACTGTTCTTAATTGCTGAGCCATCTCTTTAATTGCATCTTCAAAGCAATAATATCATATTGTCACGAAGATGAAAAGAAATGAAGTATTTAGTGAAATTCCCAGTAGTATCTATACTAGTGAGTTATCTTAGAGAAGTACTGAACAAACATGGTAAATAGTTAAAAAGCATTAAAGAAACCAACATGATGACCTTGGCTTCAATTTGCAGCCCAGGCAGGTTGTGATCCTTCTGCCTTATTGTTTCAAGTGCTTGAATTGTAGGCCTGTGCCACCATATTCAGTTTAGAATGCTTAAAAAAAATTCTTTTAGAGCTGGGTGTGGTGGCGCACACCTTTAATCCCAGTGCTTGGGAGGTAGAGGATGGCGATCTCTGTGAGTTCCAGGCCAGCTGGGGCTACAAGGAGACCCTGTCTCAAAAAGACAGGGTGTGCATGTCCACATGAATGAGTGTGTATGTGTGTGGGGGTTATGTGGAAGCTAGAAGAGGGTGCTGAGACTGTAATTCTGGTTCTCATGGTTAAGTTCTCTTAACTGCTGAGCCATCTCTCCAGGCCCTGACCTTTTTAAATTCAGAGATGGTCTCATGTACTCCAGATAGGCCTCAAACCTGTGATGTAGCTGAGGATGAACTTAAAAATTTTGTTGTTGTTGTTTGAGACAGGGTCTCCCTGCATCCCCAGCGGGCCTGGAATTCACTGTGTAGGTCAGGGTGGCCTCAATCTCAATAGATTTGCCTGCCTCTACTTCCCTACTGCTGGGATTAAAGGTGTGTGGCACTGTGCCCACTGTGAACTAGAATTTTTTTTATGTTTCTCAGTGTATTGCCTGCACGTGTGTAAATGCACCCATGTTGTGCAATGCCCATGCAGGTCAGAAGAGGGTGTCAGATTCCTTGGAACTGGACAGTTGCTAGCTGCCATATGGGTGCTGGGAATCAAACTTGGGTCCTCTGCAAGAGCAGCTCTTACTGGCTGACCCATCCCTCCATCCCGTGAACTTGAATTTTTGATCCTTCTGACTCTAACTCTAATTTTTGGATTAATGGATTACCAAGTGCGCTACCATGTCCAGTTTATGTGGTGCTGGGATTTGAACCCAGGGTTTCCTGAATGCTGGTTATGCTCTTTTTCAAGTTACAGTCCCAGCCCCAATAGTCCTTTCTTTTTCTTTTGCTGTGTGTGGTATATGTACTTGTCCATGTGTATGCCTGTGTGTACATGTGTAAAGGTCAACTTCAGGAGCTCTCTTTGATTGTTCTCTACCTTACTTTTTGAGACAGGGGTCTCTCTCTGATTCTGGAGCTCATCAATTTGGTTAGGCGGGGCGGCCAATAAAACTTCAGGAATCTGTGTGTGTCTTCGCCATCATTTTCAGGGTTATACATGTGCCATCACACTCAGCTTTTACCTGACAGAGATCAGAATTCAGCTTCTTAAGCTTGCATAGCAAATACTTTACTGATTGAGTCATCTTCTCAGTCCCCGGGACAGTCTTTTTTTGGTCTTTTTGAGACAGGGTCTCCCTGTAGACCCAGCTGGCTTGGAACTGATAGCAGACCAGGATGGCCTCAAATTCACAGAGATCCGCCTGCCTCTGTCTCTCAAGTACTGGGATTAAAGGCGTGTGCCACCATGCCCAGCTCCGGACAGTCTTTTTGAGACAGGGTCTCCTTGTAGCCCCAGCTGTCCTGGAACTCACTATGTAGACCAGGCTGGCCTTGAACTCACAGAGATCCACCTGCCTCTGCCTTCCCAGTGCTGGGATTAAAGGCGTGTGCCACCACACCCGGCCTGGGACAGTCTTTCATACATGATTTTATTTTATTATCAAATGCTGCAAGTTTAGATGGGCAACTTGCTTTTCTTCTAAATATTACACTAAGGGATGAGAACTATTAATCCAATAAGAGAAATAATATAATTATAATCAAATTTACCTGTTTTTAAAAAATGTTAATTATCCTATCACTTTATCTTAAGCACACTGTTTTTAAAAAAAATTATTGTTGTTGGCCGGGCACACGCCTTTAATCCCACCACTGGGGAGGCAGAGGCAGACGGATCTCTGTGAGTTCAAGGGCAGCCTGGTCTACATAGTAAGTTCCAGGACAGCTAGGGCTACAGGGAGACCCTGTCTCAAAAAGACCAGAAAAAAAAAAAATGTTGTTGAGACAGTCTCACTTGGTAGGCCAAACTGGCCTTGAATCCCCAATCCTTCTGTATTAGCCTCCCCATTACTGAGATTACAAGCATGTTCCACCATACCCACCTTGGAGTGTAGCTATTCTACTAAGAACTGGTATTTGAAAATTTTTTAGGCAGTTTAGGGAAGGATTTCTATTAGGACTCACCTTATGGACCCTGAAGAAAAGCCTTGGTATTCCTTTCAGCATTGCCCCTGTACTCTTTTTTTTTAAAAAAAAAAAAAAAAAAAAGAAAAGGTGAGCTACTGCTGGAAAAAAATTTATTTGTAATATAAAAGACTGATATTAGAGTAATGTCTAGAATATATAAAGATCACCTATGAATTGATAAAGTGGGTAAAAGACAAGAACAAGCATTTCCTCAGGAAACACAAATGGTTAATAAATTCAATCTCATTACAAATCAAGGAAATGCAAATTAAAACCATCACAGTGAGATACTACTCCCAACAATCATATTGAGAAAAACGAAAAAGACAACAGTTGTTTAATACAAATATATTGGAAGGTTGATCTTTGCAAAGTTGAAAATGTGCAAGTACTCAGTCTACTCCTTGGTATTCTAGAAAATCATTTATGCACATACACTGGGAAAGATATAAGAATGTTTATAGTAAAGGAGTATGAATTATTTGAAAACAATGAAAAATCCAAATATTCACTGACAGACAAGTAGAGATATAGTCATCTTATGGAATACCATATAGTCAAAAGAAGGAACTACAATTACATACTTCAACATGGATTAAATGGTATCTGGCATATAATTCAAATACATTTCAAAAACATGCACCCAGGAGGTAAGGACAGCAGGATCAGAATTTCAAGGCCAGACTGGGATAAATGAGCTCCTGCCTACCAAACCAAAGACCACAAAGCTTCACTATTTGGAGCTTCACATATATGGTAAGACTGAGACGGAAAGGCAAAAGAATCAACATGTACAATAATGTAATGCCTAGGGAGGAAGAAAAGGGAAGCAAAGGGGAGGCCACCTAAGGAAACTGGTTAATGATCTATTGTTAACACTGGATAATGGATACATGAGTATTTTCTTTTTTTTTGTCTTTTGAGACAGGTTCTCCCTGTAGCCCCAGCTAGCTTGGCACTCACTATGCAGAACAGGCTGGCCTTAAGCTCACAAAAATCTACCTGCCTCTGCCTCTTGAGTGCTGGGATTAAAGGCATGCAACACCACACCTGGCTGAGCATTTATTTTATTAGTACTGTTATGTTATCTTTTTTTTGAGACAAGTTCTTGATATGTAGTCCTAGCTAGCCTGGAACTATGTACAACATGTTGGCCTTGAACTTGTACAGATCCTCCAGCTTCTGTCTCCTGAGTCCTGGGATTACAGCTGTAAACAATCAAATCAAGTTTGTGTCTTAACTCTTCTGCTGGTGTGATAAAATACACTGACAAAAGCAACTTAAAGGAGACAGGGTTTATTTTGCCTTATAGTTCCAGAGGGTATGGTCCATCTCGAAATAAAGGTATGGCAACCTTTTAAAAAATTATTTTTATTTTATGTGTATGAGAGTTATGCCTGCATGTATTAAATGCACCTGTGCCATGCAGTGCCCTCGGAGGCCAGAAATATGGCAACAGGTTGGAAAAAAAATAGTGGCATAAGCAGTAAGCCTTCTGGTTACACTGCATCCATACTCAGAGCTTACTTCCAATGATCTACTTCCTCCAATGAGGCTCCACCTCCTAAAGGTTTCACATCCTTCCAAACACTGCCACTAGGTGGGGACCAAGTGTTCAAACACCTGAGCCTATAGGGGACCATACCACCTTCCTTTTTTAAAACTTAAAAAAAAAAACCAAAAGTTTTTTAGTGGTGGCACAAGCCTGTAGTTCCAGCACTTGGAAGGCAGAGGCAGATCTCTGTGAGTTCAAGGCCAGCCTGACCTACATAATGAATTCCAGGCCAACTGGCACTACAGGGAGACCCTGTTTCAAAAAAAAAAAAACAAAAAACCAAAACCAAAAAACCCCCACAAAACTTTATTATTATTTTATGTGTATGAGTGTATTGCCTGCATACATATAAGTGCACCCGTGTTGTGCAATGCCCAAGTAGGTCAGAAGAGGGTGTTGGATTCCCCGGGACTGGGAATTACGGATGGTTAGCTATCATGTGAGTGCTGGGAACTGAACCTGGGTTCTCTGCAAGAGCAGCCAGTGCTCTTAACTGTTTAGCCATCTCTCTAGCCCTGTTTTTTTTAAAAACCGTTTCAGTCAGACATGGTAGTGCATGCCTTTAGTCCCAGCAGAGGTAGGTGGCTCTTTGTGAAACTGAGGCTAGCTTGGTCTGCATAGTGAGTGCCAGACCAGCTGAGGCTACAGGGACACCCTGTCTCAAAAAGACCAAAAAACTTTAAAAAACTTAAAAAAAATTTTTTAAAAATTTTATGTGTATGAGAATTATGTCTGCATGTAAGTGCACCTGTGCCATGCAGTGCCCTGAGAGGCCAGAAGGAGGTATTGGATCCCCTGGAACTGGAGTTATGGATGGCTGTTAGCCACTATTTGGTCCTGAGATTTCAAGCCAGGTCTTTTGCCAAGAGCAGCCAGTGCTCTTAACTGCTGAGTTATTTTTCCATCCTTTGCTTTATTATTTAAAAAAATAGTATCATTACATGGGGCTGGAGATAGAACAGTGGTTAAGAGAACTGGCTGCTCTTCCAAAGAATCCAGCATCCATGTTGGGTAGCTCACAGCTGCCAGGAACTCTGCTCCCAGGGAACTGAATGACCTCATCCTGCTTTCATGAGTACTCGCACACACGTGACATACACACACAGACATTAAAAAAATAAATCTTAAAAATTTATCACATTTATTTTAACAACGAAGTGGAGATCTTTTTTAAACGTTAAAAACTCATTTAATTTTATGTCTTATAGAGTTTATAATGAGTAAAAGATTGTACAAGCGTAATAATTCATCTGTAAACCTAAAAATATACAGGCAATTTTAAAAGAGATGTACCCTAGCTCAGAAAAATGTTATTGAATAGGTTAATGCTGTTGTAATGAAATGCTTCTTCTAATAAACAAAAACAAAAAAAATTTATCACATTTTATTTATTTAGTGTGTGTATACATGTGTGCATATAGCTTATGTGCAGGTCAGCACTATTTCAGGTTAGAATCAGTAATCTCCTTCCACCATGTGGGTCCCAGGGATTGAACTCATCATCAAGTTAGTCAGCTGGTACTGTTTCATTATCATTTAAAAATTTTTTAATTTTATTTTGAGTGCCTATGTGTACAATGCTCAAGGAGGCCAGATCTAGAGGGTTTTGGATTCTCTAGTATTTGAGCCACAATGTGGGTGCGAGAAACTGAACCTGGGTCCTTTGCAAGAGCAGCCAATGCTCTTAACCACTGAGCCCGTTTTATTTTTAAACCATGAGTTAAATTTGCTTTTTTTTTTTTTTTTGAATATTGGAACTATTTAGTCAGAAAACTCTAATCTTTTGGTGGCTAAAAGATTACAATATTTCTGAAGAGATGGCTTACTGGTTAAGAGCACTTGCCTGTCTTGCAGTGGACCCGAGTTCAATTTCCAGCACTCACATGGCTACTTCCAACTGTTTGTAACTCCAGTTCCAGGGGATCTGACACCCTCTTCTGGCTCTCTTAGGCATCAGGAACAAAGGCAGGCAAAACACACACGAAAAATGAAAATAAAGACTCCAGAAGTTGGGTCTATGGTGGTTCATGCTTATAAATCCACCATTTGGGAAGTGAAAGCAGGAGGACTTCTCTGAATCTGAGGGACGCCTGGACTACATAGTGATTTCAGGTATAGCCTGTGTGATAGAATGAGACTGCTTCCCAAAGCACCTTCTCCCAAAACAAACAACAAAAGACCCCCCAACCCCAGTGGTGGTCTGAACTACAGAAGATATCAAACCAGACACATACCAATTTTTTTTAATACACATAAACCAACAATAAATTTCAATAAATAACTTACAGCATTTTAATAAATGCTTTATTTAATAAAATATATTTATAATAACATAATAGGTTATATGAATACAGGTCCTCTTCCTCACTCTATCGCCCCCCTTTATTCTCTTTGCAAATGGGAATCTCACTATATAGTTTAGGCTGATGTCAAATTCACAATCCTTCTGCCTTTCTACCTGCTGGGATTCAGATGTGCATCACCATACCCAGATGAAATCTCTTTCAAACTATCTTAGTGTACTTTCACCTTTTTTACTTAAAGGAAGCAGTTTATACCTTCTCTTTGGCATATCTGGATTCCCAGCATTATTGCCCTTTAGTTTTGGCTACTAGGAACACACTGCAATGCTGCCACAGTTCATTTGATATCCTAGACAGCTATTAAGTGATTAATCAATGTGTAGCATGTAGTGTAGATATGCTTGATAAAGAGATGTTTTGGGTCCTAAGTGAGATGGAATGGTACAGCACAAGATTTCATCAAGCCGATCAGACTAGGAACCAAACTAAAACTTGTGAATTGTTTATTTCTGTAATTTTCCATTTAAGATTTTTGGACCATGGTTGACATTGCATGACAATTCATGGAAAGCAAAATCATGTATAGAGACTACTGTACTTCCATCACTATCTAGCAGTGACAGAATAACTAAAGGAAATCTTTTAATGAAATCTCAAAATAATTATTAATTTTGTCCAATAATTTCCAGCTCTGTTACAGCACAAATTATTAAAGCAACAGTAACAAGAGAATTGCACCAACTTAACTTGTTACTGCGAACCAAGCCCATTGAATACAATGAACAAACTGTTATAGTCCTTGACCTAATGAAGCTTCTAGTATGGTCAAGAGAGTCACAAACTCCTTTGAATTTCATCTCCTTTTAATTATCACTTACTTTTTTTCCTTTTTTTTTGTCCTTTTTGAGACAGGGTCTTCCTGTAGCCCCAGCTCACCTGGAACTCATTATGTAGACCAGGTTGGCCTTGAACTCACACAGATTCCCCTGCCTGGGGATTAAAGGCGTGTCCCTCCGACGAAGCCTGGCTGATCATTTCTTTAGTTTTTTTGTTTTTTTTTGTTTTTTTTTCTTTTTTGAGACAGGGTCTCCCTGTAGCCCCAGCTGGCCTGGAACTCACTATGTAGACCAGGCTGGCCTTGAACTCACAGGGATCCACCTGCCTCTGCTTCTGGAGTGCTGGGAACCACGCCT